CTTCAGCCATAACATGAGGTACCCCGCGAGCAGCGCCTTCCCCGAAATGAGAAACTTCGCCTGATGATGGAATGAGTGAAGGACCGTACCAGCCTTAAATCCGCCCTCGTCGCGGTCAAGAGTGATGGTGCTTCCTTCTCTAGCTGTCCTCGCCTCCACTTCGGGCTGGTCGCACGCGCCTAACGGGAGAGCGGGCTTCCCCTTGACATCGTTCCCAGGGAACAGATAATCAGCCCAATTCTTGTGGCTAATCCCTGGGGTCTTCTTCCTCTTCCCCTTATGATCCGAGGCCCCTAAGGTACTGAGGCATATGTGGAAGTGACAGAGTAACTCCCACAGAGTTTCAACCGCCAGAGGGGAATTGTCTGACAGCTGATCGATCTCAGCTTGATCAGGGACGTATTCCTCATAAGGGAAGTCTCCCAGAGGTAGCCCTGACACGTCGTGCATCTCGAAGGGGGTGATACCAAGCTCACCATTGGGAGTGAAAAACGTGCCGCTTTCCGCACAATACAATTCCAGAATGCTATGGAATTGAGAAGCGTTGATCCGCAGGCCATGTCGAGTGGCTTCGAGGGCCACATACAGCTTTGTGCCTTTGAGGTCAGCATTCTCGGCCAAAACATAATCGGTGATCTTGGACCACCACGTGTCGCTGCCAGGTGCAGAATAGACCCACCCCGGGGCTCTAAAGTCCTTCGGGGGAAAGCTCCCACCAGCTCGAAAGAAGCGGTGACGGAAGGTCTCCGCCACCGCTGTCGACTCCCCCACGGGCGGTTCAGCGGACATTAAGCCAGGGCGCAGGCCCGTCACGCGCTTGCACGAACTCTCCACTCCATACCCAGCCGTAGAGCCCGTAAAGACGCCACAAGTGACCCCGTCCTGAGTGGGGGTCAAATCCCAGTTCATCGTCCGAGGGATCGCGAGGGACCGCAGCTCAACAATCGAAAGTAGAGCCCGTAAAGACGCCACAAGTGACCCCGTCCTGAGAAGGGGTCAAATCCCAGTTCATCGTCCGAGGAATGGCGAAGGACCGCAGCTCGACGATCGAAAACCCTCTCGACATGCTGGGGAGGTAGTAATGGGTCCCCTCTACCGTGTGGTACCACCGGCTCTCTTTGAGCAACAGGGCGGAAGGGTCGGCCATAGCGTCGCCAAACAAAAATTGAGGCTTCGGCAGCTCTGCCCTATCCTCATCTATCAGCGCCGCGTTGGTCGTCAACTCGCGTAACGTCAAGTGATGACCATCCGTGACTCTCTGTACCAGACCATGTGGCTTATCAGCGGTGAATACGGGCACTGGAGCCAAAGAAGGAAATCGAGAAGGTGCCGTATAACTCGTACGGGCACTGGAGCCAAAGAAGGAAATCGAGAAGGTGCCGTATAACTCGTAGCCCCGGCGTGGCCAACGGTCACACCCTCCGGGAAAGCCTCATCGGAAAAGGTCGCTACAACAAGAAATGAAAAGTCAATCGAGACAAAATCCGCTGTAGGGGCAAAATCGCCCATCAAACAGAGGAGGGCGAAATCGCCTATCGAAAGGGGGAACCCATTTTGAACGAGGTCTATCCGTACAGACTATACTCCCCTCTAATAGGAAAGGGCCGAACTCGCCTTACGAAAAGGGAGTTCGCCTCCTTCCCACTGAAGGATTCGCCTGCAGGGACAGTAATCATCCTCTAAGGGCAAATAGGGCAAACTTTGCCCCAAATCGGGGAAGCTACCAAGCATAATGAGCAACGCTCATCCCCCTAAAATCTGACGCCTAAGATCTACAAGAGATCGTCCAACGAACCCATCAACATACCTGGGCGCGACTCCAGAGCACCGGCAGGCATACCGGCGGAAAGACGGTCGGAGTAACGTCCGGGGCCTGCACCCCTCACTTTGCACCTCTTAGATTTCGGAGCCATTGTAGGATGAAGCGGGAATTCTTTCCTCAGAGGTTTCTTTCGAGAGTTGAGAGCACGGTAACTCCCAATGGAGGAAAATGGCTGATTTAGAAGGGCGGAGTTATCCACGTGGCCACGATTGCCCTCGAAAGACGAAAACCCTAACGGACAGAAGACGTGGCCACGATCAAATCCGCTACCCCACGTGCTGAGTTGGACTTTCCCATCCCTCTCGACCCAACGGGAGAGAGCACAGTACCCCAGGACCGTCAAACGGCCGCTCGCAGTACGCACAGCGTGAAGGACTGGACAGGTGTCGAGTCAACCTGAGCATTCATAAATGCGACTCACCTCGGTTGTCTGAGCCAAGAGCTGGATCCGCCGGCACTCAGCAAGTTGGCTAGACCCACTCGAGTACTGTGCACCTACTTCGCCGCCTCTCCTGACCGGAAAGGAGAAAGCATCGTGCTCAAAGCACACCGGGCGGTCACGCACAGTACGAGTGATCGGACAGATACTTCATCGATCTGCGAACTCATAAATGCGATTCATTAATGCTGGTCAGGTCCACTCGGATAGCAGACGGCCGTTGCCTCATATACAAGAATGGGCCTTCCCATCGTAGGTGACAGGACATAAAGCACAATCCCTGGAATAACCATTCATGGTATCGAGGAGTAGCTAGACGTCTCTGAAGAAGAGGTGGTCACATCCCACAATTCAAGGAGGAGTCAAGCTGTCCTTTTTCCATTTAAAAGCCCCTTCCAGCACACTGGAGGAGAGGTCGCAAAACTTAGAGAAAAAGAGTTGAGACCAAGCTGTTAGCAAATCCTTGCCTTACAGCACTACTGCCTAGTTCCGAGCTCCGATCGCCGGCGAACTAAGCAGAATCGAACTTTATTGCCCCGAGCTTCTACTGCGTACTGAAGCTCTCCAGCAACCTCGACCAAACGGTCCAAGGGAAGCAGACTCGACACGAGCATCGATCGAATCATCCTGTAGCCACCTAAAGTCCCCACACAAAACAAAAAGGGCATTCCCTCTGCTTCTGTTGTAATCATTTGATTATTAGTTTGTAATAAGCTTTCTTATAAATACAAACGAAACTCCCTTTTTCGGGAAATCAATTGTAATAAGCTTTCTTATAAATACAAACGAAACTCCCTTTTTCGGGAAATCAAATATTCACCCTACACTTATAAATACAAACAACCCCTCGAATGGGAAGTCAATTTTTACACCCGACAAGTATTCTGAGCACTTTGAGAGGGAGAATTTGTGAGCAAGTTGAGAGATCTTTTGGTTGGGTTAGTTTGAGTGTTTGAGAGATTTGTAGCCCTTTGTATTATCCTTGATCTAGTGGAATCTCCCTATCATCTCCTCGTGGACGTAGGTAAATTGCCGAACCACATATATCTCTGTGTTTGTGATTGATTTGTCGTATTTTGGATTGGATTGCACTCGAGTTTAGTTTGGTTATCTTCTCTCATGCCTCACGAACTCATTCGGTGTGCGAGCGCGCTTTCGCAAAGGTGCGCAACAGTCTCATGCTTTTATTTTCTTGAATGCCTCCTTTTTCTTTGTTGCTTTTATAGCTCTAAAGTTGATTCTTATAAACTAGATGTCATATTTTTTGTACTTTATTTTTTTTAATCTAAGGAGACTCATATCACTCTTTGTCTTAACAAAACAAAACAAAACAAAAAAGTACACAAAGTTTCCAACTGCACTATCTTCGATTTAGCTTTCGTTTCCATTGCACCTAAATGTGTATTACAAACCAATATGGCTCCTTACAAACCAAAATGCTTTATTGGTACTAATGTCCCAACAATCTTCCCATTCATTAGGAGCATAATTTAATCTTTGACGAGATTTTCTAAATTGATCTGAATTGGCAACTATGGGCTTCGCTTTAGATCTTTCACCACTTATGGGCTAACCAAACCATATCACGCCCATAGGCTTCACATTTGACTTTACTTTTTCTTTACTTGGGCCTGAACTTAGCTCTTGTACTATTTACCTTCTATTTAGCAATATCGATCAGAACTGTCTGCTCGCATGCAGACAGTTCTAATAAGAATAGTACTCATTTTGAACTCATCAATTTTCCTTATCTTATTTAATGTGAGGCTATACTTACACATGATTACATACATGTCTTATCCTCCTCACCTCCATCGTCTTCCCTCCTCTCCATCTCCACCTTTGTCCTCCTCCTTATTCACCTCCACCTAGACCGCCACCCAACTTGTCTCTACTCTCCTCCTTTCATTTCCTCTCCTGTTCTTCGTCCAAAACAACAACAAAAATAATAACAAATAAATAAAATGAAATCATTAACCCTTCACATTTTTAGATATGCATATATGTATCTCTGTTATTACAGTATTGATATATGAATGTGGATAGTCTCAAACTATGTCACATTCAAATATGCTTATATTTTTTGTAGTAGGGAGGATTCGAAATCCATTCAAATATATATTTTAATGCCAAAACTCAAAACTTGAAGGTCAAAGTTGAGGGATACATATAATTTTACATTCTAGCATGTCTTTAAACGGGCTTAAATTAAGGAACCCGCCTAGAAGCATTTCTATATTTTTAAAAGTCCGTTTAAATTGCAAGTGTGAATTGCACCTAGATTGCGAGGATATGGTGAATGATAGTGGTAATATATCATGATTGATTACGTAATATTACGTGATTTAATGTTGATTGGAGTAAATCATGAAAATAATTGGAGAAATCATGAACTGATTATAACTAGTATAATTGTGATTAGAGAACGTGAAATATCACGATTCGAGGTCAATGTGGCCTATACTTTTATATTTCTTTTTTGTAAGGTATTTTCTTCCTTAGAAATGCACGGTTAGTTCCCTGTCCTTTGCTAAGAGATTTGAAATAACGTGCATATTTCTTCCCAAAAACTCTGTTTCACGAAATGCACGGTTAATATTATTCCAACACTCTGTTTCACGAAAACAAAGATATACCAAATCAAACGTGAATAAATTAAGAAACCAGCAACAATATAAGTAAATAACGTGCATATTTCTTCCCAAAAAAAAAATTCCATTAAAAAAAACAAATTCGCCGACTTCAAGTTTTTGCACATATATACAACATTAACGACAGGATCCATGCACGCATCAACCCCAACAATGGTGCAGTGTTCCTCTCTCCTTTTCATTGCCTTCCTCGTCGCATTCTCCTTCACTTCTTCCTCCAGCGCCAACTCACTACAAACCTACGTGATTCATGTCCAACGAAACATCGCCGACGATTTTCCCACCAACAATGCCGACGATCTCGAGACTTGGTATAGATCCTTCTTGCCCCAGATAGACACCAATTCTGTCGTCGACGACTCAGATCGCTTGGTCTACTCCTACAGCAAAGTCTTCAGCGGCTTCGCTGCCAGGCTAACCGATGAGGAACTCAACCTGACGTCGAAGAAACCGGGTTTTGTTCGAGCCTTCCCGAACGCAGTCATTCCCCTTCTCACCACTCACACTCCTGATTTCCTCGGTCTCAGAGGCTCCGCTGGCCTCTGGAACTCCACGAACCTCGGGAAAGGCGTAATCGTCGGCGTTCTGGACTCCGGCATTCTCCCCGGTCACCCTTCGTTCGACGATAACGGTGTTCCGCCTCCTCCTGCCAGGTGGAAGGGCCGATGTGATTTCGGCCCCGGCGGCTGTAACAACAAGATCATCGGCGCTAGAGCTTTCCTGAGCGGTAACGATGCAGCGTCAAATGCGACTGATCCCACGGACGACGAGGGCCACGGCTCGCACACCGCGAGCACGATCTCCGGCAATTTCGTCCGCGATGTTGGTTCTTTTGACCTT